GACCATTATACAGTGATACACATATGTACATGTACCCATACCAAGAGGTGAGCTACTGTTAGTTCGTCTGGCCTGTTTACCATCGATACCGTCCAGTGTATGACCAGTGAAGTGGGCGACGGCTGAATAAAACCACACCCAAACTGGGATGCGTCCAGCTAGTGATGCACCCGTAGCAAAGAAACTATAATCATAAAAACAGAATAAAAGGAATATCGAGAAGTGAAACAGGAAGCCGACGAGGGTGAGGAGATTGGGAGCAACCCATAATGGTACTAGCTAGGGGAGAGAAAGGGAGAGAGAAAGAAAGGGATAAAAGTAATTAATTTATTATCATCATCATCATCATCATCATCATCATTATAGTCCATTTACATTCACCTTAGCCCAGGAAGTGATTAGAAACCCCACCCAATAATTAACACAATGCAATAATATTGTGAAAAGTATGGCTGTACTTTCTGCATGGGTATACAGTCAACTTGGAGTTAAAGAGCTACAGCTGCTTCTTAAGTAGTACAATAGATGCGGCAAAAGGAGAGGAATGCACTGGTATGTTTATTTTTACAATAGAACTTGTAAGTTAAAAGTTATTGCAAGAAAATGAGGGCTCAGGTGAACACAAATGGACCTTAGTTATTATTATAAAAAAGATAAAGGTCTACACTAAGAAATACAATAATAATTAAAATACAGTGACCCATTATTATTATTATTATTATTATTATTATTATTATTATTATTATTATTATTATTATTATTATTATTATTATTATTATTATTATTATTATTATTATTATTATTATTATTATTATTACTATTGTTACCTTGACTACTGTCTTCCACCACGGCTGGAAGAAATAAATCGTAAGAGGATTCGTCTCAATACAACTATACTAAACATGTGTATGCAATATGATAGAGAAAAGAAAGAGAAATTAAAAATTAAATAGAGAGAGAGAGAGGGATAAAGAAAGTAAATTATCAGTACTCAGTACAGAGCAGGTAAACCCAAGGAAGATTACTAAAGTCCTGTAGTGTGATGTGTATTATCCTGTTGCTATGTATGCAACTATGAATGTATGGAGGTGTGGGCCAGAACTTGAGTCAATACAATGATGTGGTTTACACAATTTATGGTTTTTGGTCTAGCTAGCTGCCACGCCCAATCTAGCCCTTCTTACCTTGTAGTGGCTCAGTCCTTGAAGCTTCTCGTCGCTCAGATAACGGAACCCGAGCATTTCTGAGCTTCTTTCCCTCCCTCTTTCTCTCGCCTTATCTCTCCTTGTTGTAGCCCTCTTCATTCGCCCTTTAGTTTATAACTACTGGTTAATTAACCAGCAGTTAATTAATAACATACCACCCACGCATAATTGCATTAAAAAGGTGA